GTGTCTGGGTAGCATTGTAGAGCTGGCCCTGGTGTTCAAGGCATGGGTCAGCAGGCCCTGAGGGTGTGTGGGAGCAGGAAAGTTGACTCTGCTTGCTGGCTGCATTGGGTAGGCTAGCCATGGCAATGTTGGAGAGCTCACTCTGGTGGTGTCAGTACAGGAGATCTTGTGGGCTAACCACCTAGCTCAGCTACCACTCAAGTCCAGATCCAGGACTTTGAGTTGGTCTAACCCAACGTCTATGACCTGCTGGAGCAAGTGAAGAGTCTCGTCCTGCAAATCCAAAGCTGCAAGATCTCCATGACATAGGGAAATACCACAATATCCCAGAGGAGCCCTGGTGAGGATCTAGTACTCACAGTGTAGCAGTAGACAGAGATCTCGAAACAGACCAACGACTCCTTACAATACACACTGCAAGTAAAGATGTGTGGACAAAAGGTACACTGTGGGATGCACTGTGACACTACAGGTTCCACAGCTAGATTTAGTTGTTTTTGTTTTCGTTTTATTTTTTAATTTCCTTTTGGGAGGACAGTTGCAAGGGCAGGTACAAAGAGATAGGGAGATAAGTGGGATTGTGGTACATCATGTAAAATTCACAAAGAATCAATAAAATGTTAACAAAATTTTAAAAATAAAAATGTTAAAAGTGATCAAGACATTAACAATATACATTGTGATGGAGGACATGTTTATATATGTATTGGGAAAATATTCAATTGTGTTTTTTGTTACAGATGTGAATTTCTTCAAAGTAAGAAATCCTCAGAGGAAATTGCACAGTATATTCAAAGCTACAAGGGATTTGTTCATGTAACGGTAATTTACAACAGCCAACTTTTTCCAAACTCATTTTACTGCCTAATGTCTGAGGTGAAGTGTTTTGTTTTGTTTTAAAGATTTATTTATTTATTTTATGTATATTAGTGTGGTGTAGCTATCTTCAGACACACCAGAAGAGGGCATTGAATCCTATATACATATGATTGCAAGCCACCATGTGGTTTCTGGGAATTGAACTCAGAACCTCTAGGAGAGCAGTCAGTGCTCTTAGCCTCTGGGCCATCTCTTCAGTTCCCTAAATGTTTTTTTGTTGTTTTTCATGGTTTCTGTGACTTTCTCTTTCATCCTTTTCCCTCTTACCCACAGAGTGTGGGAGGGTTAGGAGTCCAATGTCTTACTAAGCTAAAGTCACTTCTCTGGCTGGCTTTGGGCTGGTTCTGCCTGCCTTTTGCTGAGAACATGGTGTGAAAAAAATCAGGGTAGAGGGCTCTTTCTCAGGGGGAAAAAACCTGGTGAAGTTTTCCTAGATAGTATATTGTTCAACTCGCAGGTGCCTCTGAAGTTCCCTCCTCTCTGTGTCTTTATTCTGCATTAATTAAAATACATCTGTGGTATGTAACCTAGTTCTGTTTTTGAGTTGGGTGTTTTGTATGAGTGACTCTGTATGTGGTTCCCACTTGGCTACAAGTAAACACTCACTGTTGTTTATCACTGAATGAAAAATTTCCAAGAGCTAGAGAGGTGTCTCAGTCGTTAAGAACACTGACTGCTCTCCCAGATGTTCTGTGTTCAGTTTTCAGCAACCATCTGGTGGCTCACAACCATCTGTATTGGAATCTGATGTCCTCTTCTGGTGTGTCTGAAGACAGTGTACTCAGATACATAAAATAAATAATTCTTTTAATTTTTTTTCTAAAATAATAGAAATACAACCAAAATTAAAGGTCTGTTTCACCAAACAACTCTGTTGCTCTAATGGAATCTCCCTTCAGTTGAAGCTCACACATAGATGCTCATTTTATACATCAATTAAAAAACTGAACTTCTTTCCTCAGGGAGAACATTTTCTGAAGTCCTGGATCAGAAGAGAACTACCTATGGTATCAGGTAAAATCTCAGGCACATTCCTAACACTTTGCTTGTTTCTTTCTTCATTCAAAAGTAATTACCTCTGCCCCACAACTGTTGCAGTAATTTCTAACCCGAATAAACCTGTATGAAAAACACAATCCAGTTAATATATTTATGAGCTATATGCCTAGACTGGGCAGATCTACCCCTGCACTGCTCATTGTCCTCACCCACTCCCCAGGTGTGAGACCCTTTGCTCCTTGCAGTTTCCTTTTGGCCAGATGGTTCTTCTCCACCCCATACACTGTAAGAGTCCTCTGTGCTCTGAAGCCCTGAGCCATCTCTCCAGGCCCCAGAGAGAGAATGACTCCTGTATTCCATTTTAAACCCTTAATCCTATACAGAAATGGAGAGAAAGAGGGGAGCGCCCCAGTCTTTGCTGCTCTGCTCCAGCAGGTATAACAGTCGCTCGTGGGGCCTCCTGCTTTTCTAACCACCTGCAAAAGTGACAAAAGCACAGGTTATCAAATGATTACACACACACACACACACACACACACACACACACACACACACAGAGAGAAAGAGAGAGAGAGAGAGAGAGAGAGAGAGAGTGCTAACTTGACCTTTGCTATCAAAGCCTCCTGGTCTCCATCTTTTCTCCCAAGCTTACTGCAATGACAGTGTCTTTGCTAATGAAGAACTAAGGATGGACACGTTTAAGGACTGGCCCCAAGAATCACCTGTGGCTGTTGAAGCTCTGGTCAGAGCAGGCCTTTTCTATACTGGTGAGTCAGAATTTCCTGTCTACCAGATGTTCTAATCTCCATCATTCCTAGGAAATCCCTTTGCTGCTTAATAAGACTTCCACTTTCCCACAGCTCCCTTGGTGCTCAGCCAAGGTCTAGGCTGACAGTATCCAATCCCTCTTACCCAGGGAACCACCTCCCCTGCTCCCTAATATTTCTTCAGTCAGAACTTATATGGACATACCTACCTTTAAGAGTTGCTAAGAAATATGTTTTTTCCCCCCAGGAAGAAAAGTGCCTATTTAAAGAGTTGGGGTTCCCCAGGGCTCGGGAGATGGCTCCCTCAAGACTCTCTCCTCACTAACCCAATCACAAAAGAACACACATGGTATTTACTTACTGATAAGTGGATTTTAGGCCAAAAGCTTGAAATAGCCAAGATTCAACTCACAGACCACATAAAGCTCATGAAGAAGGAAGACCAAGTGCGGGCACTTTTATCCTTCTTAGAAGGAGTAACAAAATACTCAAGGGAGCAAATAGGGAGACAAAGTGTGGGACAGAAACTGAAGGAGGGGCCCTCTGGAGACCATTCCACCTGAGTATCCATCCCATGTGCAGTCACCAAAGGTAGACGCTGATGTGGATGTCAGGAAGTGCATGCTGACAGGGGCCTGATATAGCTGTCTCTTTAGAGGTCTGCCAGAGTCTGACATATTCAGAGGCAGATGCTCATAGCTAACCATTGAACTGATCAAGGATTTCCCAATGGAGGAGTTAGTGAGAAGACTGAAGGAGCTGAAAGGGTTTGCAGCCCTATGAGGAGAGCAACAATACCAACCAACCAGAGCTCTCAGGGTCTAAACCACCAGCCTGGGAGCACATAGGGAGGGACCTATGACTCCAGCTGTATATGTAAGGGCTGATGGCCCTGTCGGGCATAGGTAGGAGAGGAGGTCCTTGGTCCCATGAAGGCTGGATGCTGTGTGTGGAGGAATTTGAGGATGGGGAGGTGGGTGTAGGGGGGTAGGTAGGGGCACATCGGCAGAGAAGCAGGAGGAGGGGCAATCGGATAGGGGGTTCTTGGGTGGGGTGTGGGGGAAATGGGGTAAGCAGATAATGTCTGAAATGTAAATAAAATATCCAATTTTAAAAAAGAGAGAAAAAAAGACTCTTTCCTCACATTCACTCCTCTTTTTCAACTCCCCATTCTAGACAAGTTGTAAACTCTAGACCCCAGGAGCGTTGTCTAGTTAGACAAAGAAGCCATTCTCTATTTGAACTGTAGAGTGCCTTCATGGATCAAGAGGGGAAGATGGTGATTTTCCATTTCCAGTTGAATCCCTTGGCTCAAGCACATTAAAATTTTCCCCCAGAATACAGTCTCCTGAGTAATGTGCTCTTATCTCCTGTAGAGCATACCTGGGAATAATATGAGGAGAGACAAGTCTTCATGATCTCACTGACATAAAAGCTTGTGTATTTGCTTCTGTGTTTTTGCACATGATCTTCAAATATATTCTTTCTGATTTACTCAGTAAGCAATTGCATTTTGGTTGCCTATGTCTGTGAATGCCCAGTATGTCATTAGTGTCCAGAACAGACAGAAATCTCTGCTCTCATCCAGCTACTCTTCAGATTCTGATGGCAAATCTTTCAGGATGATTGGTTTGGGAGAGCTTTCATCAAAGCACCCCAGTGAAGAACCAAGAGTCCTGTGTGAACTGTTGCCTCCTGGATGACTTGTCCACACAATACAACTGGAGATCCAAGTAGGAGATCACTAGGTAATCTGGAGCTGTCTTCTTGTGATTTGGACAATGTACGTGCTGTTGAATTGACCTCATTCCCTTTTCTAGGCACAAAGGACATCGTCCGGTGTTTTTCCTGTGGAGGATGTATGGAGAAGTGGGAGGAAGGGGATGACCCAATAGAAGATCACACCAAGTTTTTTCCCAAGTGAGCAAAATGATTTCTCTTGACTTTGAACATACCTCAAGCTCCTAAGATCCCACCTCTGCCCTACACAGGCTGGGTTATTGTCTGTGAGTCTTTAAGTTTATTTTAGCTGTTCACATGGACTGGCCTTAACTCTGCTTCATTCCACATTCTCACCATGTTCTCACCATTACTTTACAGATCACATGTACGAAGTTGTTGAGAGCCACAGTATGCATGTCTCATATGATACAGCACTGACAGAATCACTGGAAATAGTCTTTCTATTTAATTCTTTGTTCTCTTGCATT